CGTTGTATAATACTTACCCCCATCTTACAGTCTTTACTCCTTAACGCACCACCTTCCATATACAGTATATAGTCAGGTAAGACTCCAGAAGTGTTAACCAAAGTTACAACAACAGAAGTTACAGTACAGGTGCTGCCTTACACAATCCATCACCACAGCGGGACATAACTTACATTATTCTGGCTAGGTGAAGTTAGGTTAGGTCTAGCGGGTTGTGTGTGCCGTGGTGAACATTGTGGCAGTGTACACAGTGGTCCACCTCCGCCACAGTGACATATGTGTACTAATAAACTTCTGTCATGGTCACTTTGTGGATATTTTGCTGTAAGTTATTAGAGCTTTTCTGAAAACTATATATATATATATATATATATATATATATATATATATATATATATATATATATATATATATTTTTTATATATATATATATATATATATATATATATATATATATATATATATATATATATATAGTTTGTTTACTCAATATAAGACTTGTGAGTAGAAGTTGAAGATGAACACGCTAGCATTAAGGGGAGGAAGGAGTGCCACATTCACTATAAAAGAACCATTAGTGCTCAAGTGTAAGGGTGAAGGGGATGCTTAAGGTGTGTCCGGGTAATGAGGTGCCACAGCACGAGGAGGATAACCCACTGCCTGATCGATGACGCGGTCCTTGACGTCAGCATAATAATAACTGTGAGTGATCAAAATGATAACTCAGCTGAAGCGTTCAACTCGGTGATTGGTCACCATGTAACTTATTTGACGTCATCGAGATCATAACCTATCAGGAGGCAGAAAATTTCCCTCGAGAGCCTTTTGAAGGAAATGCTTTTAGTGATGACGTCAAAGTAAATCACCCAATCAAGGGATACAAGATGCAAGGAAGGCAGCTCTCTGATAGGCCAATTTACAAAAACGACATCACTCCCTCACCTACGTCATCAATCAGGTGTTGAATTATCCTACATATTTTCTACTATTATTATTATTATTATATTTTTTCAAATCATTCTCCGGACCCCAGTGTGTGTCTAGTAGATGTGATGGGAACTGTTAAACTCTAACCTTTGGTAAGCCCTGCACGAGTCCAGCAGCCTGTAAAATACAAGAAGGATTATAATACATGTTTCGTGGCAACTGATCCCCGACACTGTGACGTCAGCATGGGGACTGACCAATCATAGTGTCACGGAGGTGGTTGAAAACATAGTTTAAGCCAATCATTGCAAGTTCTCAGTTGGAACGTGACAACAGGTGACTGTCCCTGTGTACGTGGCAACATGTAAGTACACATAACGTACACAAAACAAACTTACCACCAGAATACCCGAAAATTATATCAACAACAACAACAACAACAACCAGGTATAATTATCAGTATACGCTCATCACCACCAATTAAACTTTAATTAGTAAACACTAATTCAACAAGGATAATGGTATATTGAGGGGGGGGGGACATGTTTACACCGAAAAGAAAATCATTAAATCCTGAACACACACACACACACACACACACACACACACACACACACACATCTCCTGACACGGCCATATCCAACAATATATCTTCAACATTCACTAATATGTAACCTAACAATATACATATAATCTCTCTGATACATATATATAAACACACATCATATCTGAGACAACTATATGTCTCAGAGAAGAAGACATATATTTAGCTGAGACATAAACTAAATGAGACGTGTCACTATTATTCATCTATTGAGACATGAACCGTGTCTCAGTATATCTTGAAGTGAGACATAAATTAAATACCTCTGGTTATATGGGCCATACACTCTTTCACTAAATATTTTATTGAGAAATATTTAATGTCTCAAAAAAAATATATATGCAACGTAGCTTTCAGTATATCTTTAAATGAGACACAAATCAAATATCTAATAATTCTTAATAGCGGTGAGAAATACTAAGGTTTATAAATAACGAGTCCGACACAGGTGAAAGATCAGCTGAGAAATAATGACCACGGAAATAGTGTTGAGAAAGACATCTTTTTTAAAACAGTGGATGAGAAACATAATACGAAACATGGGCTAAGAAAACGAAAATATAAACAGTGAAAAACAAAACACTGGGAAACATGTGGGTCAAAAACACAAGGAGACACAAGATGAGAGACATGATAAGAAACTAATAATGAGAAATACACATCAAAACATTCCTGGTGGGTAGTACAAGGTGAAAAACACGGGGTAGGGGAATACTGGTGAGAAACATGGAGTGAGAAATACAGGTGAGAGACACGTGGTGAGAAACTTAACGTCTAGATTAGGTTATTAATCTTCTTCTCTTCTTCTTCTTTTCTCTTCACTTTATCCAAAAAAATGTCAAATTCACAAAAAATAAAATAAACTCACATTCTAAACTATATTTTCAAATTACACAAAATTGCTTCATCTAAATCTAAAAAAAAACACGATAAAATATATATAAACTTTGACAACAAATTAAACCTAAAAAAATATGGATAATTGATATAAACGACAAAATTAAATCTAACTCAAATTAAATGAAAATACCCCCATCTTTCAACACATGGCAAAAAAACCTCAAAATAAATAAAGGACAATAACATGTTTTTTTCAGATAAAAATCATACTGGAAACCGACACACGACGTATTTGTACCCTGAGAGAGAGAGAGAGGGGAGAGAGAGAGAGAGAGAGAGAGAGAGAGAGAGAGAGAGAGAGAGAGAGAGAGAGAGAGAGAGAGAGAGAGAGAGAGGGAGAGAGGGGGGAGAGAGAGAGAGAGAGAGAGAGAAGAGAGGGGGAGAGAGAGAGAGAGAGAGAGAGAGAGAGAGGGGGAGAGAGAGGAGAGAGAGAGAGAGAGAGTTGTACCCTAAGAGAGAGAGAGAGAGAGAGAGAGAGAGAGAGAGAGAGAGAGAGAGAAAGAGAGAGAGAGAGAGAGAGAGAGAGAGAGAGAGAGAGAGAGAGAGAGAGAGAGAGAGAGAGAGAGAGAGAGAGAGTATACAGTAACAGTATGTATGGGGGGGGAAGTCTACCCAAGTCCTACACATCAGAGAATACATATGACCCTGAGAGGTAAAAAAAAAAAAGTATAACTATATTGGCCAAAGTTTACATAATGTAGAAAAAAATTGACTTTTATGAACACCTTCCATCATGACTATTCTACGTCATTATGAAAGTATATGCAAGTATTTTCATGTGTACTGTATACGATGAAGTCAATAGTCCACACATAGAAGTTTATATTTATATATATACCAAACTCACACACAAAGAATACAACATGAGTGTGCATAAATATTTTTCAAAGTATCGATAATGTGTAATAGTGTGTGACCTTGAGGTACTTTGAGGGAGGGAGGGAAGGAGAGACAGGAGGGAGGAGGGAATGAGGGAGGACAGCAGTGAAGGAGGGAGAGACAGGGAGAGGAAGGAGGGAGGGAATGAGGGAGAGACAGGGAGGAAGGAGGAGGAATGAGGGAGAGACAGGAGAGTGAAGGAGGGAGGGAATGAGGGAGACAGGGAGAGTGAGGAGGAGGAATGAGGGAGAGGAGGGAGGAGGGAAGGAATGAGGGAGAGACAGGGAGAGTGAGGGAGGGAGAGAAGGAATGAGGGGTGGGGGAGTGAAGGAGGAAGGCTCAATGTTCATGATGTTTTAGAAGACTAGTAAATAGCCCTGAAGTAATGCACGACCCGTTCCAATATTATTATCGTCAATGTTGATCTGACACGCAACACTACAATACACTGTCAAGGTTGTTGTTGTGTGTGTGTGTGTGTGTGTCTGTTCATAGGACCTCTCTCTCTCTCTCTTTCTCTATCTCTCTCTCTCTCAACTCCCCTTCCTCCTATCCACTCTTTCACCCCTCTTCCGTTTCTCCTCTCCTCTCCCATCCACCACTTCTCTCCCCTTACTCACCCCCTCCCACCCACCCACCCACCTCACCACCCACCTCACCACCCACCATCATCCCACCCACCCACCACCCACCCACCTCCACCTCACCCACCAACCACCACCCACCCACCCACCCACCCACCCACCCACCACCCACCCAATCTCACCTCTCCCACCCACCCACCTTCCTACCCACTCACTACCTCTCCTCACTCTCCCACTTACTAATAGCTGCACCACCGAGGCCTCAGCTCCCAGCTAAGAGGCTATTGATCCACATTATTCCTACCTCTAAAATTTAGCTTAAAATTCAGCTATAAAATTTACCTTTAAATGTGTGTAGATTTTAACTCCAAACTTTAGCTGTAGATTTTAGCTTTTCATCATTAACTGGATATTTAAGCCTTTAAATTTCAGCTGTAAACATTAGCTTATAACCTCAGATTTTGACTTTAGCTGTAAATTTTAGCTTTTAACTTTAGCTGTGTACAAAGCTAACTTTAATAGGTCTCAAGAGAAAGACGTCACCAGTCCCACGGTCCTATTGCCGTTGCTGTCAAGTTGGTTTCTACTTATAGGTCTTGAGAACAAGGAGAGAGAGAGAGAGAGAGGGGGAGCAAATGAAAGCAAGATACGATGATAACAAAATAAAACGAAAAATAGAAAAGGAATGAGAGAAAGAGAGAGAGACAGAAAGAAAGGGACAAATAAACGAACTCCAAAAAGGAACCCCAAAGAGAACACAAAATAACCCAAAAAGAAAAAGAAAAATAGAAAAAAGGGAAAAGAAAGATAGATGGAGAGAAAAGGAAATAAAAAACACACACACACACACACACTCACCACACCACACACACACACACACACACACACACACACACACTCACCACACCACACACACACACACACACACACACACACACCACACACACACACACACACACACACACACACACACACACACACACACACACACACACACACACATACATACTGGAACACCACACGACAGTTAAGAACGCGGAAGTAAAACACTCTTCCAAAGGTGTGTCAAAGATATATGATATTACTTCTCAGCCCCCCAAGGTTGACTAGGGAGGGGGGCTGACTGGGCTCGGGGGTTGACTGGGCTCGGGGGGGCTGGACTGGCTGGGGGCTGGACTGCCTGGGGGGGACTGGCTGGGGGCTGGACTGGCTCGGGGGGCTGACTGCCTGGGGGCTGGACTGCCTGGGGGGACTGGGCCTGGGGGGCTGGACTGGACTGGGCTCGGGGGCTGGACTGGGCTCGGGGGCTGGACTGTGCTCGGGGGCTGGACTGGTCTGGGGGCTGGACTGCCTGGGGGGCTGGACTGGGCTCTGGGGGCTGACTGGGCTCGGGGGCTGGACTGGCTCGGGGGCTGGGCTGGGCTGGGGGCTGGGCTCAGCTGGACTGGGCCTGGGGGCTGGACTGCCTGGGGGCTGGACTGGGCCTGGGGGCTGACTGGGCTGGGGGGCTGACTGGGCTGGGGGACTGACTGGGCCTGGGGACTGGACTGCCTGGGGCTGGACTGCCTGGGGCTGACTGACTGGGCCTGGGGCTGGACTGGGCTGGGAGGGGCTGGACTGGGCTCGGGGGCTGGACTGGCCTGGGGGGCTGGACTGGGCTCGGGGGGGGGTGTCACACTGCCACCACAACAAGAAGATAAAGTAAAGAAGAAAAAGTGTATATTCAAAGTATATAAAAGTCTTCAAAATATTTTACAAGTGTAGTGTGTAAAATGTATGACAAAGTCTATGTACAGTAAGTATGTGAGAGTATGGAAAGTGTTTAATAGGTAAATTATATAAATAGTTTGTAACATAACAGTATGTAAAGTATATAACAAGCGAGTAATAACAACTATGTCAATTATCTAAAAATTATGAAAATCATTTTAACACAATGGAAGATTAAAGTAGTTTATAACACACATAAATATAAATAATAGTTGCCCCTCGGACCACCTGGGCGTGAATATGTGCAAGGTGTAGAAGCTGTCGCCAACACAACAGCCACACCCTCAGTTAACGAGCTGCACGACACAGTATCAACGAACAGTCAGAGAAGACCGGACAACTCGCCAACTGCACTGGCTAACCATTACCCCGGAACACAGTCCGCAAATCGATTAACATCCAGGTCCCCAATTACTGCTGGGTAGACAGAGGCAAATGGCGTAAAGAAACCCGCAGGTTTCACCCTGCCCGGGGATCGAACCTGGCCCGCTCACTTGCGAGGCGAGCATGCTGACCATTACACCTGAGGATAGAGGTTAGCACGCACACACACACACACACACACACACACACACACACACACACACACACACACACACCCACAACACACACACACACACACACACACACACACACACACACACACACACACACACACACACACACACACACACACACACACACACACACACACACACACACACACACACACACACACACACACACACACACACTACATCCACACACACACACACACACACACACACACACAGGAGAGTGATGGCCGCTATTAAGTAAAGACTGTCTCATCCACTCACGACCCAAAGGTTACGATAATTAAGGAAGTTATAAAAAGTTTAAATATAGGTTAGATTAAGACAGGCTAGGATAGGTTATGTTATGTTAGGTTAGGCTAGGTTAGGTTGAGCTAGGTTAGGGTAAGTTAGGTTAGGATAAGTTAGGTTACATCAAGTGCAAGTCAGGACAGGTGAGGTCGGGGTCAATTAGCACCAGCAGCCACTTGAATTAATCGCCTCAGACCACAGGTAATAATAACACACACCAGTAATGCTACAGAGGACACCACACGCTACATAATTATTATTAACTTTTAATTTCAAACTATATTACGTAATGCGAGAGAGAGAGAGAGAGAGAGAGAGAGAGAGAGAGAGAGAGAGAGAGAGAGAGAGGATTATGTAACACTGAAATAAGAGACCCACTAACAATTTGTTTCTTCGTTGGGAAAAAAATAGAAATAAGTTCGAAAAGTGAAATGTTTTATTTTTAGTTATTTTTATTTTATTTTTAAAGGGGTGAGGGGGGGGGGGAGGATGAAATTTTACAGTATCAGATGATAATGTGGTTGTATTTAGGGAGGGAGGGAGGAGGGAGAGGGAGGGAGGAGAGGGAGGGAGGGAGGGAGGAGGGAGGGAGGGAGGAGGAGGGAGGAGGAGGGAGTTCTTACTTCTGGCTTAACTAAATCGCTCGTAATTAGGTACAGAAATCACAGACCGAGGAATTATTAAGCCAGATCTCTCTCAATGTCACAGGTCACACCATTTAGGTCACAGTTATGGTTTGTTTAACTCTGGAGAAAGTTCAAAGGTCAAGAGTTCATTAGTTGAACCTTTCTTTTTTCTTTTTTCTTTAACTTTGATAATGACTAATGAAAGGTCAAGAGGTCAAATTGTTTGGTCAGACTTTCTCTCGGTAGTTTAAGTATGGAGAGAGGTCAAGTATTTTGAGTTGTTTATCATGACTGCTACGAAAGGTCAGGTCAGGTCAGGTTATGGTCACTTTCAGTAGTTTAAGTGTGGAAAAAGGTCCGTTCAGGTCATTTGGTAACTTTCAGTAGTTTAAGCAGGGAGAATTCAGGTCACGTTAGGTCAGGTCAGGTCATGGCATCTGGTCACTTTCAGTAGTAGCTTAAGTAAGGAGAAAGGTCAGGTCCGGTCAGGTCATGGCATTTGTTCACTTTCAGTAGTTTAAGCATGGAGAAGTCAGGTCAGGTCAGGTCATGTCATTTGGTCACTTCCAGTAGTTTAAGCATGGAGAAGTCAGGTCAGGTCAGGTCATGACATTTGGTAACTTTCAGTAGTTTAAGCATGGAGAAGTCAGGTCAGGTCATGTCATTTGGTCACTTCCAGTAGTTTAGGCATGGAGAAGTCAGGTCAGGTCAGGTCATGTCATTTGGTCACTTTCAGTAGTTTAATCAAAGATAAAGCTCTATACAGTAGTCAAATATACAATAGCTATAGTGTTTCTATTCTCTTTTGACACCAACTACAGTAAAAGGTCAGCCAGGGGTCACACGGTCATTATATCAAACTTTCCGGTAGTGAAAGTCGAAAGAAAGGTCAGGTGTCACGCTTGACGGGTCACATTTTTTCTTGGAAATGGACTAAGGAGATATGTCAGAGGTCAAAGGCTTAGGTTTTGTGCCGACACTTTCACCTCAGAGAAAGGTCACATTGTTTATTTCTCATGGCCATGGAGGAAAGTTCAAGGTCACGTGTTGATCCAAATCCGACTTTCTCCTTGTTGTTGTCACACTTTCATTCGATACTCTAATACTAGTGAAAGGTTAAAGGTCAAAATACTTAGACTTTCACATGGTACTTTCACTTATGAGAAAGATCAAATATCGCTTTTTAGGTTCAGACTTTCTCCACAGATAATTAAACGTCTTGAGAGGAAAGGTCAAAGACTACACCATTTAGCTATACTTTCCCTTGATAGTGTGAGTGGAGAAAGCTCACAAGTCACATCATTAATTTAAACTTTCCCTCAGTGTTGTCTAATGGTAGACCCTGCTGCCATATGGCATCACGAAAATTGTGACCAAGTCCCAGGTTACTGATCTGACTTTCTGCCTCATTTACACACAATTGCAGGGTCTCAATTGTTTCTCTTACTTCACAACACAACATAGTACATATAGCGTTTGTCACTATTGATTTTTTCTTTATGGTTCTTTATTATTACAGTGTTGTTATTGTTATTATTATCATCATTATTTTATTATTTAATTTTTGTATTTTTATGAAAATTTGTATTTACTATGAATTATTATTATTACATTTTCGCCCCCCAGGCCCAGATGTGGGTCAGTGACCTGCAGAGGTCAAAGGTCACCTGTTTGAGACACTTTCTAATAACAATTTAACACCTCGGTCACGCATCTTATTTACATACCTGGGTAATACCTCCCTCCTCTCAGTGCTTCTATACTGGGGGACTTTCTTACTCTGTGGGAGGGGGGGAGGGAAGAGGGTAGGAGGGAGGGAGAAAGAGGGGTAGAGAGGGAGAAAGAGGGTAGGAGGGAAGGAGAAAAAAGGTGGGGGAGGGGAGAATGCGGGTAACAGGGAGGGATAAAAAGATAGGAGGGGGGAAGGGGTAGGAGGAAGGAGGGAGATAGGGGGAGTTACCTGGCCATAGGGTAAGGGGGTAATAAGGGTCTGGCTAGTGATAAAAATACGGAATTAAAATAGAGAAGACAGGTACCACCACCACTACCACCACCACTACCACCATCATCCCCTCACTACCACCACCACCTACCTAACACCGCCCCCTCCCCACACCACCACCGCCCCCTCCCCACACCACCACCACCCCGTCACCACAACATGTGCCAGTTCTCCCACAGTATAATCCCACACACTCTCGCCCACTCTTACCTGCATAAAATACTGACATTAACCGCACCTTGGCCTTCCTCCAGGTGTGTGTGTCTGATGCAACCAAACCATTCTAACCTAAATTAACCAACGTGATATCAAACCTAACCTAACCTTACTTGGCCTAACCTAACCTAACCTAACCTAACCTAACCTAACCTTACTTGGCCTAACCTAACCTAACCTAACCTAACCTAACCTTACTTGGCCTAACCTTACCCTACTTTATTCACTTAGTAGACATGTAAATTGTGTAAATTGTATAATATATATATACATATATACAAGCGTGTGTGTGTGTGTGTTAATTCAACATCCTTCCCGAAACTAATAATGATAATAATAACCGAAAGTAGTTACTACCCAGGTGTGCAACTCATGGAAAAAAGAAAAAAAAAGAAAGCTAGTCGGCACCTGGGGAAAATTTGGGCCGTAGATCAACAGATGGCGTTGTGATAAGTGAGACGCCGGCCGTGCATTGTTGTTTCTGCCCCGGGCCGAGATATTTACGAGCGCTCGCTAAGGCTTTCAATTAAAATGTACACACCGTGTTTATTTACGGTTTACACTGGTTTTTACGGATATTAGAAACTCTGTGTGTGATTTACGATGAGTATCTCTTGAGTTGTTTACGATATACTGTGATTTTACAGCAAGTTTAAACGACAACGTGTGTGGTTTACGATGCTTACGATTTACAGTGACTTAAAAGGCATCAGATCAACTCTGAATAGCACTGAAAGGTGTTCACCATTTACAAAAATTTTGAAACCATTAACACGATTTTTCATGATTTAAAATTTCTAAGATTTTACAACTTTCAATATTTCTTTTCGTAGATCGAAATAACTATGTGATTTATAATATTATTTTGTAAGCATTCATAAAAAAAATTAAATAACCTGACATTAAGCAGTTGAAATTTCTTAAAAAAAATACAAACTTCACACTATATACATAAACAATTTACAATCAAAAGCGATGCTAGTGGACACATTCCGTACCTCCATATCCCCTTACAGACACAATTACACACAGGTAAGAGAGACACAGGTAAGATACACAGGTGAGATACACATAGATGAGACACACACAGGTAAGAGAGATACACAGGTGAGACACACACAGGTAAGAGAGATACACAGGTGAGACACACACAGGTGAAAGAGATACACAGGTGAGAGGCACACAGGTAAGAAAGATACACAGGTGAGACACATAGAT